CGAAAGGAGAGAAAGAGAGAGAGAGAGAGGAGTAGAGAGAGAATGGCACACGTATTGCTCCACCTACGAACGCGCACACGTATGCTCACCTTAGCTAGAAGCGCGACACGGTATGCTCACCTCTAGTGAACGCACCACGTATGCTCACCTAGGCTAGAATCCCGGCACACTATGCTCACCTAGGGCTCAGAGACACGCACACGTATGCCTCACATCTAGCTAGAACCCGCACCCGTGTGATCACCCTAGCTAGAAACGCAGCACGATGCTCACCTAGCTAGAACACGGCACCGTATGCTCACCTAGCTAGAACGCGCACACGTATGCTCACCTAGCTAGAACGCGCACACGTATGCTCACCTAGCTAGAACGCGCACACGTATGCTCACCTAGCTAGAACGCGCACACGTATGCTCACCTAGCTAGAACGCGCACACGTATGCTCACCTAGCTAGAACGCGCACACGTGTGATCACCTAGCTAGAACACGCACACGTATGCTCACCTAGCTAGAACACGCACACGTATGCTCACCTAGCTAGACACCACGGCTGACACACGTACTGCTCACCTAGCTAGAACACGCGACGTATTGATCACCTAGCTAGAACCGCACACGTATGCTCACCTAGCTAGAACACGCACACGTATGCTCACCTAGCTAGAACACGCACACGTATGCTCACCTAGCTAGAACACGCACACGTATGCTCACCTAGCTAGAACACGCACACGTATGCTCACCTAGCTAGAACGCGCACACGTATGATCACTGTAGCTAGCACACGCACACACGTATGGCTCAGCCTTAGCTAGAACGCGCACGGACGTTATGCTCACCTAGCTAGAACACGCACACGTATGCTCACCTAGCTAGAACACGCACACGTATGCTCACCTAGCTAGAACGCGCACACGTATGCTCACCTAGCTAGAACACACGTATGCTCACCTAGCTAGAACACGCACACGTATGCACCTCTAGGCTAGAACACGGCCACGTAATGACTCACTAGCGTAGAAACCACCCGTATGCTCACCTCAGGCTAGAACGCGCACACGTATGCTCACCTAGCTAGAACGCGCACACGTATGCTCACCTAGCTAGAACGCGCACACGTATGCTCACCTAGGGCCTAAAGAAGCGCACACGTATGGGCTCACCTAGCTAGAACGCACACACGTATGCTCACCTAGCTAGAACACGCACACGTATGCTCACCTAGCTAGAACACGCACACGTATGCTCACCTATGCTCGAACCGCCACTATGCTCGCCTAGCTAGGAACGCCACACGTATGCTCACATAGCTGACCCAGCACACCGGTATGCTCGCCGAGCAACCTAGCTAGAACACGACCGTACTGCTCACTGCTAGCTAGAACACGCACACGTATGCTCACCTAGCTAGAACACGCACACGTATGCTCACCTAGCTAGAACACGCACACGTATGCTCACCTAGCTAGAACACGCACACGTGTGATCACCTAGCTAGAACGCGCACACTGTATGGCTGTCACTAGCTAGAACACGCAGCACGTATGCTCCTCTAGCTAGACAACGCCACACGTGTGATCACCGTAGCTAGAACTGCGGCACACGTTATGGCTCACCTAGCTAGAACACGCACACGTATGCTCACCTAGCTAGAACGCGCACACGTATGCTCACCTAACTAGAACACGCACACGTATGCTCACCTAGCTGCCAAACATGCAGCCACACTCACCCGGCCAGCACCAGCCCTGGAAGTCATTAGAGTTGCGATCCTTGACGAGCAGGCCTTGATCGTGCGCCTCCTTGTAGATGGCATAGTTCTGGTCCTGCTTGAGGTGCGGGTCGACGATCGTCACCATCTTGCGGCCCTTCGCCGACAGATTGCGCAGCATGTCCTCCGGGTGCGGGAACTTGTTCGTGTCCCACGTGAAGTACCTGCGGCCGCGAGATCGAAGCGGGGAGGGAGAGATTACACGCTGATTACGCTGTCCTGTTCATGTTTGTATATGTGTTTGTAATCAGGTTTCTGGTTGTGTTCGTGTCTGTGTATGTGTGTTTGTATATGTGTTTGTAATCAGGTTTCTGGTTGTGTTCGTGTCTGTGTATGTGTGTTTGTATATGTGTTTGTAATCAGGTTTCTGGTTGTGTTCGTGTCT